CTACTTAGAGAGGAGGAAGAACAGCCAAAAGACAAAGATTTCCAATAGGCCTTGAGAGCGACCATGAGACAAGCCCGTCGGGCAAACCCGACCATCGTAAAATTTGTGAAAACGAAACTAGAACGACGATTCACCCAAATGAAGACTTATCAGACGACAATGCTAGCGACCTAATTGCATTACAAGAACTAATGAACAAAACCTCAGATCACCCTGTAAAACCAAAAGAGCATTTAACATTAGACCGAACAGATCTTAAGGCTGAGTTCATGGATCAGACCGAACAGAAAGCAGAGATGACTAAGATTCCGCTTATCGATCTGGATTCAGGCGACAATGGTGTGGAACCACAGGTGACCCCGCAGCTGGTTTTCTTGGATAGCTATGATGAGGCGGAGAAAGCTAATCAAGAAGGGCCGATTCCTCCGGAAAATCCTGGAGGGGAACCGATTGGGAAGAGCGACGAGCCGGTCGTTATGTCAGAGGCGGAGAATCAGCAAATAGACCCTATCAACAAAAAACCGAAACTGTCCGGTACAGCTAAGAGGAAAGCGTCATCTCCGGTGAAATCACCGCCCTCGAAGAAACTACCTGAGATTTTTACCCGACAGAATACTAGACCTATGCGATCCAAAGATGCTGGGTGGAAGAGTGTTTACCAGCGTAGTAGACCTAACTGACGAAAATTTTGACGAGCCAATATCTAGGCCTATTTATACTCCCCCAGCCTACTCAACGATAGAAGCAACCTCGGTCGAAATGGAGAGCCATCATGTTGACGTTGTGGACTTGACAACTTTGACACCACCCTCATCATCGCACCCACAGCAGTGTACCTGCTGGAAGAAAGCTTCGAGTACCCGAGTGATACAAAGTCCCTTGTAGCAGACAATCAAAGTACATTAAGCAAGAAGGTCACATTCAGTCCGGAGGTCTGCACCACCAAATTCCACCCATCGGGCCTACCCTCCGAAACTTCCGAAGCAACATCACCACCATTAGTACTCGATCCGGACTGGTTAAATACTTCCTCTATCATTTCAGCGATAGAAATCTTAGGACGGCCAATGACGCTCGAGGAATTAAGGAGATGGACGATTAATAGAGCTGCAAATTGGGACGCAAGTTAGAAGTATTGAAGTCCAGTAACCTTACCATAAAACTTTCAGAAACTTTTAGACATTCCAAAACTCTTTTAGTATCTTAGATTTTGTGTACTGTCGAGCCTCGCGTAACATTAAAACGCATTTAGAGCTAAAAACAAACTTCAAGTGCTGGCCTAATACGCTAAAATTGAATTATTTCTGGCACCACTATAAAGTTTAAATTGAGCCATATAATCACGCTTTCATCTACTGCTAAATCCTTCTCTCACCCATTGGGTGTCACCATTGGATAATTATGTGACCTATTCATTTTAGTGCTACTTTCATGCCCATCGGGCCCTCCTGTGGGGCTTTTCCTAACCAGCCTACCCGATCATATATCCTAGCGCTAAAACATTTCTTGGTGTGGCGAAGAGTATAAATCATATACTCTGTATTACATTATAGTGCTACCTTCTTGCCCATCGGGCCCTCTTGCGGGGCTTTTCCTAATCAGCCTACCCGATCATTTATCTCAGCGCCAGAACATTTCTTTGTGTGGCGAAGAGTATAGATCATAGTTAAATTTTCGCGGGGAATGTAAAATGAGTTATTCGATGTTGACCGTTTAACCTTTGAGTTATACAGTGCTGATTTAAATTAACCGGACAAAACGCGTTAAACTTGAAATTTAAAACGCGTTTTTCTCAAATTGGGTTGAGTTTAGGTGAAAACTTATGAAGACAAAACTTGCTTAGAATTTTAGCAGAATTAATATGGTGTAATTTGTTTTGCAAAATTCGGGCTCAAAATTTTACCACAAAAATGGGTCATTTTGGCTTTTCTTAGTTAATCAGAAATTACGCCAAAAATACCCAGTCGATCACAGACATAATTATATCAAAGTGAGCCCCTTACGTAAACCAACAAACTCTAAGAAGGGTATTTTCTCCAAACAAAATTGCGTATTGTTTAAAAATTGTTTTCAAATAAAAAGTTGGTATTTTTATAGTAAAAATGACCTTTTTTGTCTATCAAACAAAAATAAATTAACTTATACAATATTTTGGAGATTATACCCTTCTTAAAGTTTGTTGGTTTACGTAAGGGGCTCACTTTGATATAATTATGTCTGTGATCGACTGGGTATTTTTGGCGTAATTTTTGATTAACTAAGAAAAGCCAAAATGACCCATTTTTGTGGTAAAACTTTGAGCCCGAATTTTGCAAAACAAATTACACCATATTAATTCTGCTAAAATTCTAAGCAAGTTTTGTCTTTATAAGTTTTCACCTAAACTCAACCCAATTTGAGAAAAACGCGTTTTAAATTTCAAGTTTAATTTGTCCGGTTAATTTAAATCAGCACTGTACTTAGTTGTGACCTTTTACCATACCAATTTAAAAAAACACCTGCCAAAAGCGCAACGGCTTTTGGTAGATTTGGAGTTTGTTCACTATCAATTTCGATATGCAACAAACCATCTGAAACCAATTCAACCTTTTTAACATCTCTTACCTTTGTTAGATACCACAGTCTTTTATTTAGTCTTAGATAAAAGCCTACAACCACCTTGTAGGAATCTTAAACAACCTCGTCTTAAACTAGTCTTAGTTTAAGTTATACAGTCTTATTCAACCCAACGTTTTATCCTAATTTTTTAACACCCCAAACTCTAAGCTATACACAAAACTGTTTGACATTCTCGAAACGACTGAATCGCGACTACTTGTGATCTCTCTAATAATAACAACTTTTTCTGCATCAACATCTCGAGAAATCACCGTCGAGAGGCACTGTATTTTAAGAAGAGATCGGGATAATTTTTTTCGATGTTGTCAATGGTATCATCAAAATATTTGATAGCATCAACAACATCAACGAGCCAAAAAAATCCTCTAGTCATATTTCAAATAGGAGTTCTCAATCGAGTTTTACTTTTGTATTGTTACACTCACGAAATAATTCTAGAACATCTCTTCTTAATTGACGTCATCCATCCGACCCCAAGCGCTGGTTATAAAGATTCGCTTGAATTTTTGAATTTGCTACAGGAAGCTGGGACGATGTGCTTCAAGCTTTAGGCAAAATAGCCGGTCAAAGTGTAACAGTGCAAATCATTGCTTTAATCACACTTTTGAAATAACTTCGAGATCCTTCACTCAATTCCAGAGAGATGATTCTTCATGATTCGGTAATGAACACTTAGAATTTCGGGTTACTTTGCTTTAACAATGAAATCATATTTATGTAAGTCAGAAGAAATAATCTGATATTTAAATTTACAACGCTGCAAGACACTGAAAAAATGTGTAGGTGTTAGATTGTAAAAATATAGACTGACTGATGTACAGATGGTCAGACAATTAAAACTTTGTGCCCTAAATTTGGCCAGTAGATGAAAAGCTTGAGGACAAAATTGAGAAAGTGTCTCAGTGACGAAAGAATACAGTATACAGCTTGCCCCAATTGGAAAGGGAAATCTATTCGAATAAACAGCCACCTTCTCCGTTTTTCACTAATTTACGATGATAACAAAATTAAACCTGATTAGTGTCGGGAAAAATTGCAATTTTGCCAAACGAAATCGAAAAGGAGTTTCGATTTTTTCACAAAAAACTATTTTCAGTGCTCAACCTCTGAGAATCGCCAATCAACTAATGCTCATCGGAGAATGGCAAAAATTCGTTCAAAGCAAATCCTCAATATGACTGCACCTTATTTGGGTGACAACACGAACCCATAGAGGAATTGCAGGGAGCTACAAACATAAAAAAAGCAAACTTACAATTAAGAAGAAGAAGAAGAATTTACGTCTCCAAATAGTTGATAATACAAGCATCAATTTATTTAAATTATTATTTAAATTGACAGAAAACCGGGTTGCTGCAACTTCTAGAAATACCACGAGAAGGGCTTCTGTTAAAAAAAGACTCTTTTGGACCCTTCTTTGGAAAATACAGCAAAACCCGAAGAAACTTAAATAATTTTTGATGTTTTTGCTACGAATCAATGCAATTGGAAAAAACAAAGACAAAGACAAGTTTCATAGTTTCAACTCAAGAAACTTACAAAAGACAAGCATCTTCATCATCTACATCTCAAATTCTTATCCGTAGTTGAGGCGTTTGAGACCAAATTTTTGACCAAATCGGCCAAAAATGGCTATATTTTGACCGACTTGACCCAAACTGGTGTTTCCACTGACTGAATCATAAACATGTTTGATTGTGATCGACTCAAGCATGCTATGTTACGACGGACTCGGTCCAAACTGGCCATGTTTCAACGGACGCGACTGAAGCAAAAATGTGTTAGGCTATGCTCGACCCAAGCATTCTATGTTTCGACAAAATTTTTAGCAGAATCTTATAACTTATGCAATAAAAAACTTGATCAATCTTGATTTTTTCACAACCACTATTATGATAACTTGAAAGTTTTTGTTCTGACATAGTCTAAACTTAATTTTAATTAATCAGGTTTTTCAATTTGGATTTGGCGAAGTTTTTTCGCAATACAACTCTTCTCGGAATTTTGTTTTGTCGTTTTGATTTTGACTATGTTTTGACCACAATTTGTGTTTGACTACCTTTCGACCACACAAAGGTTCCGACTTTTGTACAATTATAATTCAAACTGTGGAATTACCGATCTACTTTTTTCATTTTCATAGAATTCTCAAAGTCTAACAAAATGAGGCCATTTTATTTCAAATCGACTTCTCACACCGTGTGCAATGAAATTAGCGTTGCACTTGCTCTAAGTTTGTGAATTTTGTGGTCGACGAGGTAACATATCTCCATCATTAAGCAGCTAAATTATCTACATCAACGTCTCAAGAAGTTGTCGTTGAGAGACACTATTACCATAGAAGAGTTCAGTATATATCTTTGTTGATGTAGCCAATGAGTGTCATCAAATTGTTTAATAGCATCAACAAAATCAACCGGTCAAAATATCCCTAAGTCAATTCTAAAACTATTTTTTCAATCGACCAGTCAACAGATATGTACTGGAACCCACTAAAGAATACCAGAACCTCTCTTTTTAATTGATGTTTTACTGATACTTTAAAATTTTCTACAGGCACCCTGGTCAGAATTTTCAAACAATACTATTTGGTATAATGGGGTCTAAAAATTTTTTTGAGAGAAATCAGAAAAGCAAATTGGTCGACCGCCTAAAGTTACCAGACAAATTTTTACTGCGCAAGCCAGAGTTTCGTTTGTAAACAATTTGAGTTACAGTTTGCACACAGTAGTGAAATGGTTTTGGAATGACGGCCGCGATTGCGCCTGCGGCTGCGGCTGCAGCTGCGGCTGCGGCAGATGTATGCCTGCGCTGTTGTTGACTGCTTCGAAGACTTCCGCTACTACATGTGAGTTTGCAAAGTTCTCTTTGGTCAGCGGAATGAACAACTCTGATGCTGATTCCGTATCAACCTCGCTTGGTTGCTGAACCAAAACATACGACGGAGGCCTCGACATGTCTTGCTGCTCTTTACTTTCAGTTGGAGTCAACTTGGTCTTCACGTCTTCTGTGTTCGAATTCTTAGTGTGAAGTGATTTGTTGTGTCCTTGGATTCTAAAATACTCTACTAGATCAAACCCAAAATCCACCAATTCCAGTAGTGTGAGCATACTGAAACCAAGGTACAGTCCTAGCAAACCCCCAATGTTGGACAGAATAGTCACCACTTCGTAGACCGGACGCTCTCTTATCAATGTTTCCGACAAATCTCTCAAATATATATTGACACGCCCGAAGTTGGATCTCAATGCGTTGACAGCGTTTTGAGATCCATCTATTTTATCTTTCCAGTATTTTTCGATCACATTTATTAAAAAGTGTTGCAAAGATGTGGATATTTCGTAGGGAATTTTGGTCATGAAATTTGCCAGTGACTTGTTGGAAGGCCATTCGAGTTGTGAGATGCTCGTATCGAATGTGGCACTTTCGCACTCAGCAGGGCAGTGGCACTCATCACTCGGACTGAAAGTGCTGCTCATTTCTTCGACACATATCCTCTCTGAGACCATGTCAATCGTGCAGAGTTCTGACTCATCGAATCGCACGTCGTCTGAACAGTTGCACTTTTGAGTCTTCGCTCTGAAAGTGACAAGCTAGCAGAAATTGAAACAAGTGGGAACTTTTCGTTGTTTATTTTACATAATGAAAGCGCATATTTATAGTGCCGATTTAAATTATCCGGACAAAATGTATAAAACTTTCGAATTTAAAACGCGTTTTTCTCAAATTGGGTTGATAATAGACAAAAAATGAAGAAGACGAATCTCAGTTAAAATTTTTGCAGAAATAATATTGTGCAATTTATTTTGCAAAATTCGGGCCCAAACATTTACACCAAAAACGATTATTTTTAGTATCTTTATCAAACAAACATTAATCCAATCCTATTTGTTCATTTACTAAAAAAACTATATCACTGCAAAACTCTATAGTACCTCAACAAATTTTAGCAAAGCTAAACTTTTTGGTCAGCTTTGTATAAACATATATTTTTTTATTTGACAACGACAAAATGTCATTTCTACTTTATAAAACTCCATTTTAACTAAAAATAGTTTAATTACTTTTTCTGCCCAATTTTGGAGATTAAGCTCATAAAAGGCTTGCAGTGATATAGTTTTGCCAGTAATTGAACAAAAAAGTTTGGTGTCCAAGAAAAGCCAACAATGATAGTTCTTGCAAAAATTTTTGGTCCTGAATTTTGCAAAATATATTGGAACATGTTACTTCCGCTAAACGTTTAGGCAAATTGGTTTTTCATTTTTTTTCTAATATCAACCCGATTTGAGAAAAATGCATTTTAAATTTCAAATTTCATTCCATTCGTCCGGATAAATTAAATCGGGTAACGCGACAAGTCGAAACAAAAAACCATCCGCAAAACAAGACAACTCGTAAAATCCTTTAAATAAATAACTAGCAAAAAAAAGACAACTCGTATAAAACTCGGAAGGAAATTAAACTTCTCTTTAATCTAACTGTGAAACACAAATGCGGTAAGACTTCAGAGCCTTTGAAGTGTCAACATTTCTGTGGTATACAGGGGTTTTACAGATCAAAAGTAAATGAAAGAATTTCCAACTGCAATATAAGATCATTGCTTTGATAGTTTTCAAAAGATTCCCATATCCTTTTTTGCAATTGTTCATATTTTGGTCATTTATAGGGCGTTTTTCTGGATTTGAACAAAATCAGACACATTTCAGTTCAACTTTGCTCCTACCTTATTTGCTGAATGAATTTTGATACAATGGGGTGATTATTACTTAATTCTAATCGAAAAACTCTGTGCCATTCTTTGACCAAACTGTTGTTTTTTGATATCCATTTGACGCATTGATGAATTGATTCCATATACCTGGTTCGAAATCTAGATCCTTTCGTAGAATTCCACGCACATATTTCTCCGCCCATGTTTTATCAAAATAATTGAGATATAAATGGAGCTGATCAATCTCAGTTGTTGTTGCGTAGAGATCTTCTAGTTCGAACTTCATGTCGCTTTCAGGAATGAGAGCCAGCGCAATGAATGATTTCATTTTCTTTCTTAAGTCTTCGTCTTTTCTGCATTCAACCGCCAGTCCTAATTTTTCTCTTTTTTTTGGGAATTGGCCAGCGCAAAATAAAAAAAAGCACCAATTATTGATGCTCTGGTATTATGGATTTGAAAGCAGAAGTTACTGCTTTTTTGAAAACGATAACAATTTTTGTTAGTATAAGGGTTTTTTGTCACGTAGCACACAAATTACTTGTTGATTTTGCTGTTGTGTTTTTCGTTGAAACAGAGAGTAAACCATTGGGAGGGAGCAGTTACTTATTACAGCATGTACAGTATATATTTGATTGAGTAATGAGGGACAACTTTAAATGTTCCAGCAGCGTACCAGAGGTGAACACAACAAGTCGGCCGGAATCCTCTGGCCCCGACTCAAGAGCATCTTCATGAGATTCTCCCCCATAGAGTGGTTTGAGGTTCCATGTTCTCCGGGCTCTTTGGCACAACTTCAAATCTCTTTATCGTTGAATCGCCCTTACAACAGAAGTACTTTTGGGCATTTTTGCTGCGACTACTCAGAAGTGCTGCTCGTTGATAAGTAGATCGGGGATTTGGTTGCGTGTTTTGCACTCTTTTTTTTTACATTTCGCATGACACTGAAACTTTTTGAGAGTGTTTGGCAATTTTTTTTTCGCGCGTTCCCCCAAGATTTTTAACTGCTATGCACGTTTAACGGTCATACTTTTTAACCTTTTTTGAACCGATTTTTTTTGAAATTTTGAAAAGAAAAAAATGGAAAAAATTTTACACACGGATAGAAAATGCAATTTTCAACTTCTAGTTCATGCGGCAACAATGTAAATAAAAAAATCATTGTTTTTTTCCACATAAATCAGTAAATACTTGCAAGGTCTTTTTGATTATCTCCAAATTGATCACTCGCTTTTTTCATTAATCGGACTTCATTAAATTTTTCCTCATCAAAGATCAAGATTCGTTTCCCGCTCTGACTTTTAGTGAATTGCAACATTATTTGACTGAGTCGAAACATATTTAGAAACCAAAATGATGATATACCAAATAATGCAATCAAGGTTTGGACTCTATTTTTGGTGTTCAATGAACGAAAAGATTCATATCTTTTCCCTCTAATTGTTTCGAATTAAGAATAAAATTAACTGATTTTTATTGGGGGATTACGGGTTTTAGTTCAGGGGTAAATTAAAGATTATCTTCCGAGTTTATCGCGAGATATCGCGTTTTGCGAGTTGTCGTAATTGCTAATCTATGCAATTTGTCTTTTGCGAGATGTCTTTTTTTGCCAGTTGTTGTCTTACATTTACATCAGCACTGTATAAGTAACAGATTTGATATAATTGTAAGTTTTGAAAATATAAAATACGGATCTGTCTGAAAAAAGTGTATTGATTGCCTAACCCACAGAAGTTTGATTTAAAAACAACCTTTTAAACAACCTTTGCTCGCATTGAAAGAGACAGTCGTCTTTGTTGTGGAAATTTGCCAGAGATCCTTCTCCGTATAATTCACAATTGCTGAAGGGAGCTCCCAGTTTGTGAACTTTCACTGGGTGTATACTTATGTAATGATCAAAGCCAGGCGGAATGTTTATTTCATTCGACCAGTCAACAAACGTAGAATGACCGGGGTCTCTTCTGTTCTGCTGGGGTGTTACAAACAATTTCAACCCTGAGCCCATTGTGAACAACCCCAAATAATCAAACACTTCAAGGTTGAAAGCAAAACTCAGTCCAAAGTTTTGGCCAAAATTGGTAACTGGTTCGCAGAAGTTGAACGTGTAACACATTCCATACTTTTGAGAAAAAGTGTCTGTGATTGAAGCTGTCTCGTTGCACTCTTTGCCGTTTGCTCTGCAAGTGAGTATCAAATCCTGAAATGTATTAAGAGACTTATTTTTCTTGTTGGCCGGTTTTCTAACCGGCGTGTTAAACAGCCATTGGCCGGTTTTCTAACTTTATTAATCTGTGTATGTTTGCAACTAGATTAAAACTCATGTCCATTTCCCTATTGGTTTCTATATAAAATGTACAGAAGAAATGGTCCTATCAAGATAAAAACACTTACCAATCCTGATGCATAAAACCGTACATTGGAATTGTGAACTTCCAAACTGACAAGATTTGCCTTCGGGTTGGAAATCAGTCGTTCTCAATTATAAAATTGAAAGGTCTTTTGTCTATATAGATCTAACCCCAATAAGGAAATAACATGCTTTTATCAGGGGGAAGCAGGGAAACCGGGTTGCATTTTCCACAAAAGTGCTCATCCTACGAACTGCTCATCCTACAATTGCATATATTGAGTACATGAAAAAAATGTTTGCCATACAATTTTCATACAAAATTTAAAAATTGTTTTAAAGACTTTCAAAACAAACTTTTTGCCTAATCGCTGGTTTGAAGCTTTATTGTTATCAAAAATGCTTATCTTACTATTTTCATGTATGAAATTGTATGACAATCGTTATTCCACAGAAAAAACATCCAAAGTTGAAATATATTTTTGTTCCGACTTTCGTTACGAAAGTAACGGAATATTTGTGCTCGGAGTGGGTTTTTTTTCTTCAGACAAATTTCGACTTTTTAACTAGCCAATTTTGACGGAATTTTTATATGCTTCGAAAGGTGTTGGTGTCCTGAGCTCAAATTTGAAAAAATATTTCACCTGTGATCATTTTTCGTAAAGTTATAGGGGTTCAAAGATTGCCATTTTGGCCAATTTGGGACAATTAACGCGCGATATAATTCGCGCTATTAACGCGTAAGCGGAGATTTAATCCTGCTTATAAATCGTTCCAAATTGGTTGAAAGAAGCTTATTTGCCATAATTGATTTGTTGCAAGGAGCGAAATCTATTGTTTTGTACTTTTTATGGCGTGTGGGGGAATGATTTTCATAAAAAAATTTCAAGTTTTAGAAGAAAAAAATTTTCATTTTGTTTTATTACATTTAACTTTTTAATGTTATTACTGCCCCAAAAACCTTAAATGGCAGTCGGAACATTCAGAGCTTCGCCCTGATACGAGCAGTCTTGTTTCTTTTTTCTAATCATTTGTGCTCAAACAAACATTCAATGAAAAAGATTTTTAATGTAGTCCAGTCTGAATTTTTTAACCCCAAATGTCCAAAAAACTCAATAAAATGTTTTTGTATTGCCACCAATCGCTTTTTGTTCCGAAAGTTGAAGAAAGTGACGGAGTAATTGTGCTCAGGATGGTTTTATTTCTCCATGCATATTTCGACTTTTTAACATGCAAGTTTTGATACCAATCAAAAATAATTGTTTTTCTGAAGTTAAATTTTAAAAGGTGTTGTACCTGCGATGATTTTCGAAAACTTAAGGTAGGTTAAAATTGCCAGTTTGGCCAATTTGGGTTAACTATTGCGGGATAAATTGTGCTGTTAACGCGTAAACGGAAATTAAAACCGTGTTAAAAATGGTTCTAACTTGAGTTGAGGCATGTCTATTAGACTATGGAACCTGATCCAAACTACATTTTATGATTTGATAAATTAGATATTTTACCACTGTAAAGTATTTAATATTAACCAATCATGATCCATCTAACTAACAACCCACTTATTTGTAAGTGCTGAAATTACTTGTAATTTCAGCACCAGAGAGATTTGAATTTAACTTAGAAATTAGTTGTCTCTCCAAGAGAACTTAAGCCGCCGCAACAAACCAGTATACCCTAGATCTATTGAGTCTAGCAGAGACTAGTTAAACACCCTGAGACTAGAAAGTATAAGAGTAAGATTAGGATCGGTATTAGACTAAGAAGTTGCACGAATCTATCCGGCCGAAAATAAGATAGCGTGACGAGCAGACGGTGTGCCCTATCCGAAATTACTCTATGAGTTAACCACATCGGTCATAACTCATCTGGTGCGACCATAAGTCTCGAATAAGACCTTAATAGCTTAGAATTAACCAAAATATAGATTAGAATTTAGACAAAACTTTTTAAAAATGTTATACGACAATAATTTAATCGAAATGTCTCTACGACTCAATAGATCAGAGCCGATAATCCGAACGATAACAGAACTACCCGGAATTGGAAGAAGACCTCAAACAAGAGACGACATACGACAAAGTAGAAACTTACCAAATAGTTTTATGATCGTACGGCAAAAACCAACACAAGATTTATATTTAGAATCTTATTAGCAATGAATTTAGATTTTCATTTGCAAACATAAAATTTTGAAGTAAATCTTCATGATCATTTCAGGCGCTAAACAAAATTATTAATATGCAATAACGATTGATAAAAAGATCTCAGATCGTTTTCTTAATTTCTGCAGTCTTATATAAAACATGTTTGAAAAATTTTTATTGAAAATGAAAATAAAAATTAGTAGCATGACAATAAATTGTTAGTAATCATAAAATCATCTGTTGTTCCAGCTTTATCACCTAAACATAACAGCAATCATAAGTTCACTAAAATCATTGAAAAACTAAATTTTTTTCTTAAATATATTTAAACAATTTTAAACTTAAATTTTCACTTAATTTTAAAAACAGATCATCAAGGCTTATCCTTAGATTTTAATTAATTTTCTATTTCACTAAAATTAAAACCTGATCATCAAGGCCTATCCTTGGATCAAAAAGAACAATTTTGTTCTCCCCACCCACTTAGCAAGTGTCTAACGATCTCAAACGTCGATTCACTATCCAACCCTTCCAAACGACCCAAGGTTAATAGAAATTTTTTTAATAAAACTAACCATTCAAATTAGGATAAACAGTGAAGAACTTCGGTTATTCATCCTTCACTTGAACCCTCCTCTTACCAGACCCAGGATAAATCTTAGACTTAGTAAGTTTAAAATAGTATCGAACGAACTACTTGCGTTCTAATTATACCTGAACCTTGTGGATCGATTTACTATTCTCCAACCCTTGAACACAATCACTACCCCTAAGTAAGATTAAGTAAGTTAATACCTTAGCTTAGACTAGCCACGAGAAAGTAAAAAATCATTCTTCGGAATCGATATACTTTTCTCTCCAACCCTGAACAAAAAGACCCAGGTTAAGCTAACCAAAAAATCGTAAGGACTAACAGCCTAAGAAAATAGAAATCACCTAACAACTTTTTGCATCCCTCATCCTAAACTTTATGTCATTCAAAAATTTAGGAAATAAACAAACAATCGTTTTACACAACTGCGAGATAGATAACCAAAAATACGACCTTGTAATCACACCTCATACGCAAACAGTTGGATACATTAGAACAAAACGACTGACAATAAAAAGAAAAATAATAAACAAACAAAGAAAAATCACACGAAAAAGATTTTCAAAAAATAGAAACGCATTTTCAGAATCAAAAGCCAGCAATGTAGATGAACTCTACAAATTAAAGGAATCAATTGATAAAAATTGTCCCATTCACGATCAATTATATTTTTCCGATTCAGAAGCAACTTCAAATTCATCAAAAAGAGGAAAAAGAAGAATAAAAAAGCAATATAAACACAAACCAGTACACTTGTATAATTGGAATCAACCAATTAGACACCTTGATAATTATATATTAACAGTCATTAAACGAAAAAATGAGCCACAGCCACACTCAAAGTGACGATAGTCCAGATGACGAAGAGGTTTACCCCTTCCTCATAGATGCACCCGATAATAGAGGGCAACATGATTTTTGCAAGAATTTACTCCTAAATTTGTTTGAACCCGGAATCAGCCCATGCAAAGCAGAATTCCCAGATGTAAAAATCAAAAGACAAATTATTGAACATTATCTGAAAGATATATGTAATTTAACACAACAATACGGAATCTACACCATAGAATTCAGCACACCAAATCCGAATCATCGAAAATATGTAATTCAAACAGACGATCTTGAATTAGAATTTTCAAAAGTGTTCTTAGAATATATTAAAAGCATACAAAATCATAATTCACAAAGAGCAAACTCCATATTCACTAACGAAGTTTTTGCAATAATATATACCTATATTTCTATATTAGAAAAAACAGAACTTCAAAGTATCTCACCAACTGAAACATCCAAACATACAAACTTACGACAGGAAATCACATTATTTTCAACCTTCCTACATATAATCAAAGAAACTTTCACTAAAGACGATGTTTCACAACACACAAAACATGACTTACAAAAAATTTTGGCATGGTTTATAATAGATTATTTCACACACAATATAGACTTAATTTCACAAGCAAGAAAAAATTTCAGACCTCAAAATCCAAATGATGATACTGTCATTACAGAACAGTCAGACTACGTTTGGGACCCTGAATGGTCTCATCATGCATTTATAAATATTCCACAATCAATCTCAAGTCAAGCAATAAGTACAATATCTTACCAAAGAGATTATGTAAAAGTAGTACCACTAACCATTGATGCAACACCATTAAACTACAACACATTTTTACCCGATACACGAAATAATAGTTTAAATTCGACCGTCATACATAATGAAAACCTTAATGGAACTAGAAATCTTACACAACAAGATATCCAAACACCATCACACTTCATAAGTGAAGAAATTGTCCAAACAACAACAACTACACAACAAAGTATTTCACCAATACATCCAAATTTATCAACACCAAAAAATACAAATACTTCATTGGCACAAGTAACCTTACAATAAACCGTAAAACCTTCGGTTGCTCCAAAATATTCACAAATGGATTATCAAACATATAGACCTATGACAGTACCATCAAAACCACGAAGAACGTTCACAAGAAACACTTTTGCAGAACATAATTCTAATTATGCACATTCATCCGAAACAAACTATCCCCCACGAAAGACTAATAATAATCATGTAAGATCTCACTATTGGGATAACCCAA